TGTATATGAATACTAACTAAGAAAAAAAAATATCGAGACGTTTAATTGATTTTTTTTTTTTTTTTTTTTTTTTTCTTACCATCATCTGAGCAATAAGGCTAAAATAATATACAGATGTAGAAAAAACATTGTAGAAACGCAATTAAACACTATGTTTGCCAAAATAATATACAGATGTAGAAAAAACATTGTAGAAACGCAATTAAACACTATGTTTGACTTTGTAAATTAACCTAACCCTATAATAAATTAAGTTCCTGTCACAACCAAACTCTCTGTACGTATGTGTTGTTGTTGCTGCTGACGTGGCCAATGTGGTTGTTGGGGCTGGGGGTTGGTGTGTGTGTGTGTGTGTCTCCCTCTCCTTTCTTCTTCCACATGCTGAGAATCATTCTCACCAAACACCAGTTTATGGAATTATTCTTATTTTCATGTTTAATGAACAAATGACTAGAGACAATAATGGCAATCTATTTCTCTTGAGAATAACATTTTGTCGGCATCAGCAAGTGGCTAAACATGAATTTGTAATGCTAGCGTTTCAGTTGGACCACTCTGACTATTCGGGGGTGCTCACCCAGACGTTTCTAGACTGGGTGCTTAGTGTGGTGTTGGATCAAAAACTAGATTTTGACTCTAATACCAACTGTAACGGTCCGAGTATTTTGCGATTCGATTCAAAAACTTAAACTATTAGATAGAACTAATATTCAACTCATATATTCCCATTTCACTTCCGATTCAATGAGAAACAAGCTCCCTTGTAAACACTTACCCGCTTGAACCAACCCATTAAAGTTAAATGTTTTAAATTAATTTTTACTACAAAAGCCAGATCAAAATGAAAGAAGTGGTAAACTGTGTACTAATTACAAACTCAAATTTATCTATGAAAAAAGTTAAATAAATAAAGTATGAATAATTTCTATAAGATTAGCTAATTATTTTTCATTTTTATTATATTATTTTCTTAATCCTTCCGGTTGATTTATCAAATAATAGTTGTGAAATTTGTTAAAAATGAGCTCTACTCATTTCCTAAAGAACTTAAAATTGATGCAAACTTAACTCATTTATTGCTTAACTAAGATATTTAACTATTCTGAATTTACTTTTTAATAAACAACTCGATTATTTTACAATTCTATATATATATATATATATATATATATATATATTTTACTCAAAAATATATATATTTTGCTGAGATGTAAAGTGTTAGTTTGTGGTTATCCGATGGGTACAAATTCCTATTTTTTTTTTTTTGGTAAATATTCATCCATTCACTCACAAATACTTACAGAACTCCAATTGTTTGCTTTCTCTTTTGAAAAATGAGAAATTGTACCAGTTGAGTTAATGATCTTTTACACCTCTTAAAAACTATTGAAGACTTAAATGTTGGGAGTATCTTTGTACACTCGAATTTAAATAAAATAAAAGCTTTTTTTTGAATAAATAAAACAATAACTATTTCATAAGTGATAAGTAATAATAATAACGATCCACACTCACCGCAACTCATTTTCCTTTTTAACTTTCCAAAAAAAAAAAAAAAAACTTAATGAATTAGAAAAGTGTTTTGTATTGGATGGTGAATAATTTTACAGATTATAGGCTAGGGTTGTGCACGGATATAGCCACAGTGGACCCAATGGGGTAGCTGCCTATATTCTAATTTTTATATCCATGTTTCCCACCATTATACACTTATACCATTAAAATATGTTTTGCCACTCAAAACCACTTTCATTCAATCCCATCTCTCATACTCTAATTAGTTGCTGGACATTTAGTGAAATAAAAAATAAAAAGAGTAAATTAATGTGGAATCACTGATGGTTGGTCAAGTGGTACTTTTTCAACTTTCATATAAAAAGGTCTGATAAATTGAACAAATAAAAAACAAAAAACAAAACCGTTCAAAAAAAAATAAAAAATAAAAAAAAAAAATAAAACAAAAAACAAAAAAAACCCTCACTATGATGAAATTACATATTTATCCTTTGACTTCAGAATTAATCCATACGAATTATTAAATAACCTTTATACATTTTTTTAATTGCCCAAAATGACCCTCTCTTTTCCCTCTTCTTCTTCCTCTTCATTCTCTCTCTACCTTTGACTCACCCACGTCTCAAACGCTATACCATGTCACGGTTACCACAGCAACCGCCACCAGCAGAGGCAACACCACGTCACTCTCAACTCCTCCTTAATCACCCTCATCATCAACCCCATACCAAACGTCTCTATCCACACCAAACTCTCCCCATCGCACCCACTCTCACACAGTACACAAGTCCGTACATGTGAAAGTACCAGACACAGCACCACCGGAGGCGAAGAGGGATTGGATATTATGATGGTGTACTAGTATGGGAGGATTGTTGAAGTGTTTGACGAAAATGGGTTTGGTGGCATGCTGTGTACGGTACTTTCAATGAAATTACATCAAATGTAATATGTGATGTAATTTCATTGATACAGACGTTGCGATGGTAATGGTGGATTTCTCATAAAGTGGTGGGTGGTGTTAGGGTAAATGGAAGAATGTATGGAGACGGAGTTTAGTTTGGTCATTTTAGGTGGTCAAGGATAAATATATACTTTTATTATAATTGGAGTGTGTTGTTCAGTTTACCAAATTTGAGAGTTGTGGACCTAAGTGCTAATCTTATTAACAAAAACTATATATATATATTTTTTTTCGGGTTAGATCTGTTCATGTTTGGTTCGTTTTAGATCACATGGACGGATATGTTGTTTTCTCCTACTAGATCTCTGGTCTAGGTCGATTTTGGTTTTCTTCATCTCGATTTAATCTTTTTCTCCTTGATTTGATCTTGTGTGGGATTTCTTGGGTGTTGGAGCACCTTGTGGTTGTAGTTTGGAGCTGTTGCAGTGATGATGGCCAGACTTTTCGGTCTCTCTTGTTTGCTGCGTTCTCCCATGGTGGTTCCGTTTGCATAGTGTTGGGTTCTGTTTCTTCCACAAATCTGGAGTATGTTCTTCATTTATTTGTTTTGTTTCAAAATTTGTATGCCTTTTCTGGCTTGCCTTTATACCTTTGTACTGCCATCTTGACTTTAGACTTTTGTGTCTTTGAATGACAAAAAAAATAAAAAAATAAAAAAATAAAATAAAAAAAAAATAAAATTACAGTATTTCTTAATTAAATTTTATCATTATGGTAGTTGTCACAGGGGTAAATTCTGAACACGAATCTAATGCCCTGTGATGGCACTAAGCCAGAAATATGAACAACTTTTCTGAATTTCTAACTTAGCTCAGCCAACTCATACTTACTGCCTAGAGCACACAGCAAGTAAAACACTCTCACACACAAATACAGTTGCAAGAATGTAAAGACAATAACACCCACAAATTTACAGAAGCACAATGCTTCCAACCTTTTACTATTATTCACAAAATAGTACAAGGAAATGCCTCAACCTGCAGAAGCATACAAGAGTCTCTCACAACACAACTCTGTGTCTCACTCTCAATCTGCACTCTCTACAGAACCCACATTAGCAATATATAGGCAAACTCTCAAAACCGCCCACTAAAGTGGTGGATGACACCCTTATCCACTCACAACTACCCCACTAAAGTGGTGGATGACACCCCCATCCACCTAGGGTCATGTTGGCACCTACTAAGTGTGCCAACACTATATATGTAATTGACAAGCCCAACTACTAACTTGTTGGCATGCTCTGCTCATGTCACGTGTCCACAAGAAGTTGCACTCAGTATAGTGGAAGAAACCACCTCCAACCGCCTGTGTGTTATTCTCTCAAATCTGTGCCACATGGATGGGAAGTTATTCAGCACACCTCTACTCCCCACATGAGTGGGAAGTGCTAGTAACTTCCCCCAACTAACTGAGCCCACTTAATGGAAAGTGTAACTTCCCCCAACCAACTGAGCCCACTTAGTGGGAAGTGTTAGTAACTTCTCCCAACCAACTGAGCCCACTTAGTGGAAAGTGTTAGTAACTTCCCCCAACCAACTAAGCTCACTTAGTGGGAAGTGTAACTTCCCTCAACCACCCGAGCCCACTTAGCCATCTTCTGTAACCATAAGCCATGTCTGAGTCCCCTGAGCCAACCTTGCACGCTGAGCCTTGCCTACGCCCACTGCCTTGTGCCCATGTCCCTGATTTGACTATATCACACGTCCATGACTTGTGTGGTCCATGCTTTAAGCAACATCTGAGCCAACCTTGTGAACTTAGCCCATACCAAGCCCACTAATCTGTACCCACATATAAATGTCTCAAAGTGCACGACATCCAAATCGAGTGCCGTCTGCGCTAACCATCTTCTATGGACTCAAGGTACCTCCCATAAAGATCCCGAGCCAAAACTCCAAGTTTCACTTTTTTACCATATTTACGAAAATGCCACTGAACACCCCCAGTGCATGCTGATAGCATCTCATTACTGTCAGGGGGCTTGTCAAGGTCCAAACCCCGTAACAGTAGGAGATGTAATGTGTCCTTTGTGGCAATTTCATCATCTTTGAATGGCATTTTTCGTATATATTACATATTCATTAGGATATTTTGGTATTTTCGAACTCCACGACGCGGCAGGCTGGCAGCGCGCCACTCGAGCACTTTCGAAAGGCACGAAATATGAAAATCGCAAGAGTTCATCTGACACAACACCGCTCCAGGAAATTTCATGGACCCACACTTCCATCGTCTGCCACGTTTCGATTATTTTCCATTCCCTCTTAAAATGTACTTCGAACCAATTAAAAATTGTTAATGTTTAAAAAAATCAAAATTTTAATTTATTTCCACGTCAGCTGTTTTATGAATATAAATAAATATAAAATACCTCTCCTTCCTCTCGCCGTTCATAAGCTCCCCTCTTTCTCTCCGCCTGCTATCATGCGCACCCGCTTCGCCTACTGCGCTGCTTCTCTCTCTTCCCCAGATTTCTTGTATGTCCTCTCTCTCTCTATAAATATTTATACATTTATATATACATATACATACACAGAGCGCTCTCTCTCTCTCTATATATAAAAATTCCTTTTCACAGAAAAGAGCTTCTGTAGTACGTTTCAGCAAGAAATGCAGTATATCTTCGGTTCAGTCTCTGTTGTTAGGTTATTTTCTAGTTATATGTTTTTCTCGAGAAAATGAAATATTTTCCGGGAAAATGTTTTCCGTCGAGACAACGTTCGGATTTGTTGGGTCGTGGTTGGTACACGTTTGCTGATTTATTTATTTATTTTATATACTTCTAATCACGCGCTAATTTACGTTTTCTGTGGATCTTGCTTGTGTTGCAGCATTGTTATGAACAGTTCGTGCAATAAACTCTGTTTATACGACAACAAATGGTGTAAAATTTGTTAGTGATTCACCGATTGTGGAAAAAAAAGTGTTTATTTTTGTGGATTTTTGGATAATATTATAAGGAATGGAGACTACATGTGGAACAACTTTGCAATTTTCATTGCCGCGGACTGGTTTGGAGAAGATTGAGGGAAAATTCAATGGTTTTCTGAGGTTTTCTCGGAGAGGTAGGAAAGATTGGGGGCTTAAAGTGATCAATTTGAGTGAGTTTCAGTGGAGAAGTGAGTTGACTCAACACGGCCGGGTTTCGTTGACGGTTTCACAAGCTTGTAAGGATTCTCGTGGTAGGTGTTATTTATTTGTTATTGGTTGATTATGCATCCAGCTACTCTTTAACTTTTTCTGTTTTGAAGTTTTTAATGTCCACATAAATTATATATATATATATATATATATATATATATATATATATATATATAGATATATGTATATATATATGCTCAAATACATACATATAGATATATGCTCAAATACATGCACATAGTAGATGCATACATTCATATTATGAATACTTGGGATGAATACAAGTGTTTAAATGTTGACTATATGATCTTGAAAGATAATAATCCGGTGTTGGTCCGTCCACTACTGTTGCTGGGAGGGGTAGATTGGTATTATTTTGCTCAAAGCAGGTGTCTTATTCTTAAATTTGCATTTTCATGTTTGAAAAAGAGAGTCTTGATGATGAATTTATACGATGGGTTGTATGTCAGCAAATTTATTGGTGTCTGATACCAAATTTGTTATTGGAAAAAATTGATGGGAATACCAGGAGGCATCGCGGAATGGTAAAAGACCTAATTTTGTCATTCTTACAAATTTGCCATAGAAAAAGGGAGCGGGGGATAAATTATACTGCGACTAGAAGCTAAGTTGGGGGAAGAGGGAGGAATGTAGATCTGTGGATGAGGGGTTAGAGATGACATGACATAGAGCACGGATATATAAATACTCCCTAAACAAAAGTTACATGTATTAGTAATGCATTTCTTCAAGAATTAGCAGCGGCATGTGCTGAAGTCGATGATGAATTTATATGGGTTGTATGTCAGAAAAATTTGTCGGTGTCTGACACCAAATTTGTTCTTGGAAAAAATTGATGGGCATACCAAGACAAGTGAATAGGCATCGCGGAATGGTAAAAGACCTAACTTTGTCATTCTTACTAATTTGCCAAAGAAAAAGTGAGTGGGGGATAAATTCTACTGCAACTAGAAGCTAAGTTGGGGGAAGAGGGAGGATGTTAGATAAGTCAGACATGCTATGGAGAAGTACTGGAAAGCGTGATGTTGTGTGTTTACTCCTACTTTCCAGAAACATTGGTCTACTTCGCAATTTTTGGATGTCCCATAATCAATATCCACTCTGAAAGGTCATCTAAATTATCCCTTTTCAATTTGTTGTGGATGTGGTAACTTTTCTAGGAGGTTTAGGAATTTGTATTTTTAGTATGATTGTTAATTTATTAAATGTCTATCTCCTTAAAGAATTAGAATTTCTAAGATAGACTATTTTTGGGTACTGTAGGACTGCATCTTTAGTAAACGAGGTGTACGATTCACGTATGCCTTGGATGCCTCATTGCACTTATGATTGAGGCTATGTTTTAAACCTGCTGATGTAACTTCACTAACAAATTTTAAGTAAAAGATGCCATGGTTGTTGATCTTATTTTATTTAGTCAATGCATATGCATATCAAAACGGTTCATGCACATTGATTTACTTGATCCTCTAAATTTATATGCCAAAAGTTCCATTTTTAAAACCATTTTATTAGTAGTGTTGAGTTGCATATGTGGAATTTCTTAGAACGTACATTGGTTTAATTGACTTCATATGCAAAATGAAAAGACATGTGTATTGATTTAGCTAATACATTGAACTGATATGCTGAAAAATTCCTTTTTTTCCATCATCTTTTTTTTGATCAAGTTGTTTGAATCTGGCTTGTATTTCCTTTTAATTTTTACTTTTAATTTTTTTTAACCATCTATTTCAAATTGTCAATGTTCTGTAGCTCCTGCATTGGAATCCGGAAATTTCCATGCCTCTTTCGATGGAAATTGGTTGTTAAAGGTACTGTACATTGCAATAATTGATTTGAGACCATAAAACTCAAAACATTTTCCGTTTTTAATTTTTTTTTTTCATGACAGCTCTGGTATTCTATTGTAGAAATGGCATCTGAAATTGAATGGTTGAGATTAAGTTTTGGTTGATTTAATGCAACTTTGCACAACGGTCTCACTGGATGTCACTTTGGTTGCAGAATAAGGCACAGGAGGTCAGCTCATGCTTAAATGGACGCTGTATATTCCTTGTTGGTAAGTTATTTTACGGAGAATTGTCTTCTGGGATGGTTCTTTATCTTGTGATTGAACTCTAGAGTGAATTTCAGGAATGATGGGCTCTGGAAAAACAACAGTGGGGAAGATTTTGGCCGAAGTATTAGGTTATTCTTTTGTTGACAGGTATGTGCCTTATGTGCATCATTATTTGTTTTCCTGCAGAGCTTTCTACGAATAACATGTGAAGAATTACTTATCAGAGAATAAATAAATTATGATCACCAAGCCATTTGTGGTTCATTAGCAGGCATCTAGGAAAACGTACCAGTACGGTTCATAGGAACAGGACCAAAACATAGAAATTTGACACAGCAGTATTTTAATTGGTATGGTAGATGCCGGAAAAATGTGTAGAATGAATAGGGTACGCAGTGATAGATGTCATGAATCTCCAACATGTACATCATATACACGAATGAATCCTTGAGGTTCTTTCCATGGTGATGTTGATTGAATGGAAACCTCTTATGGTGCATGTTTATTGTATATTTTGGATGATGCTATCCAATTATTAAAAGGAAATCCAGGAGTGTGGTTATAAAATCTTTGGTGTTAGATTCTGACAAATTGAGACAGGCACTGTACTCGTGAATAAATGTCTAGGCGCGCAGCTGAGTTGTGCAAGCTGAGTATTAAACCAGTCACTCTTGGATTTCTGAATATTGATTGAGGTGACTAGAGGTTAATTAGCCTCTTGCTATATTTTTGTACCAATCTTCAACTTCTTCACAAGTCTAGTAAGCTTGTTAGTGAGCCTAGTGCAGTATTCATATTTGCACCATGTGACACTCAATTATCGATTGAAAGACACTGGCTTTATATTGTTTGTTAAATTGACTTTAAATAGCAAAACATCTATCTTAGCTAGTGTTATTCAAGCTTAGCTTCTGAAAAGTTGAACATCGACCTTCTATATGAAGAAATTTTGTTTATTGTTGAATGAGCCCGAATGACCTCTGTCTGTTCTCTCTGGATTTTATCTCTTTCTAAACAATTTAATTTATTTTTTTTTCTTTTGTACTTTTGCCTTCTTTTTTCCTGGTCTTGTATCAATCAAAATAAATAAATATAACGTGTTCCTGATGGCCTATTCAAGAACCAATTGCCTTATAATATGTTAACTGATTAGGTATATATCTGATGTCTGTGTCCAGTGACAGATATGTGGAGCAGGCTCTGGGTGAAAGTTCTGTGGCTCACATCTTTAAGCAGTGTGGCGAGAGTATCTTCAGAGAATATGAGGTTTGTTAATATTAACATTGTAGTTGTACCACCTGCTGCATCATCTCAATGCTTCTTCTTTATAAAATCATCTTTACTTGATGGTCGAGAGCTCTCCGTTCCATCATATATCCTTCATTTTTTATATGTTGTATTTCTTTATTTCATTATCTTTCTTTCTCTTTTATTATTTTATCATTCAAAATTATGGGTAAAATTTTTATCACTCTCTTTTAAGCTTAAGCTTTTGGGGCAATTGGTTGCCCAAAATATTATTTGGCTGGGAAGATGCTTTCCAAGAGTATTTAACCCAAATTCTATGTTGTTTATTTTATTTTATTATTTATTATTATTTTATGGAAAGGCAAATTCTATATTGTTCAAAGGTCTAAACCTACCTATGTTGGTAAGATTGTTGAATTTTCATGATATAAATATGTGATCAGTTTGTTAATGTGAGAAACTGAGAAAGGTGAACTGCATTGGACTTTAGGACTTAGAATGTTAGACTACACTTTGAAGTGTATATCAGGAGGGTCCTTTGTAGACAAATAACTGAAGGTCATTAATGCTGCCACCATGTTAATTGGCAGTAATTTTGTTTTTTATTTTTATTTTATTAAGCCACTCTTATCATTTGCATTTTTCCAACTTGCATTGAATATTTACTTATTTAATAAATGGGAAAATATTTCTTATCAATAACATGATTAATTGAAAAATATATTTTTCTCCTGAATGTTTTCAGACCGAAGCATTGCGGAAGTTGTCTTTAGTGCCTCGGCAAGTTGTTGCCACTGGTGGTGGTGCGGTGGTTAGCCCTGTGAACTGGTATGCCATGATATATACTGACAGTGAAGTTTTGAAGCTCTTTCTTTTCTAAACGACCTTTGTCAGTTACAATCATTTTTTGGACTTTCAGGAAATATATGAAGCAAGGAGTCACTGTTTATTTAGATGTTCCTTTGGATGCTTTGGCAAGGAGAATCGCTGCCGTTGGCACTGATTCCCGCCCGCTCTTGCAATTTGAATCAGGCGATCCTTACACAAAGGTGGTTATCATTTTCATCCTCGTGAACAGACTTCCACCAGGATAATTTCCTTTTCTTGTCTGACTTGATAATGCAAGGACCCAAGAAAGTATCGAAAATCTGCTTCTTGATTTTGACAGTGTCCTCAACTTCTTTGCAGGCTTTCATGGGTTTATTTACTCTTTCGAAAAGGAGGGGAGAGGCATATGCCAATGCGGATGCCACGGTTTCTGTTCAACGTATGTCCTCTCATATATATTTACATTATTTTTTTTAAAGCAAGTATTCATTGAAGAGCAGCCTAAAGGGGGATGCGGTCCAGAACAACTGCACAAATATCTATTTGCATGTTGTCCCATCGGTCCATTTGAATGGGACAGTTCTGTGCCTTTGTACCGGACACTTGGAGCAAATTTTTAGGGCTTACAGCTTTTCTATATATATTAATCTTGCATGAAACTATTTTAAATCATGAATGTTAATATCGTTGTTTCCACTTTTTCTAATTCCGTATCTTATATTTCAGGTATTGCATGCAAGCTAGGTCTTGAAGATTTATCTGATATCACTCCAACTGCTATAGCAGTAGAGGTGCCTCTCCATCCTTGTCTTTATGTCCTCTCTCTTTGTCCTGTTTTCCCTTTGTCTGCTGCCTGGGTGGTTTAGGTAGCCAATTCAGTGGTCTCTTGATACAATTTAATTCGATTTTTTGTTGACTACCCATAAAAGATATAAATCAATTTCGAAATTGTTAAATGGTCCAGGGAATCTGCAGTTGTTTGGTCTTTGGCATAGGTCCTTCCATAAATTTGTCCAACCATCTACATTTTTTGGTCTTAGATTAGCAGCTGAATGGTTCCTGCTAGCTCGTCTGATGAAGTCTATCAGAGCTTGTTCGAGGGACCTGGGTTCAAGCTTACTGCAAAAAAATGTTGGGACAAAAAGGGTGGGGAATGAACTAAGTATGAATAAAAAAATAATAATAAAAATAAAGAAAGAACAAAAATTATGAATTTGTTAACGGTTAGAAATCCTATTGACCTGAGAAGTCTGTCTTTGGTTGTTACGCATTCTTCTGCTACAATTCTTCATTGTGACAATCGCAGTGCCATCCAGATTTCTCATAATTCTGTTTTTCACGAACGCACCAAACACATTGAGCTTGATTGTCATTTTGTAAAAGCTTATTTCCTCTGATCTAATTGCCTCTTGATTCTTGGCAGGTACTCGTACAAATAGAAAACTTACTGCGAGGCAACAATGGCATGTCTATCCAAATGTTTTCTTAACTATCCGTATTTCTTGTCTCTGCTTAATCTTTTCCGGTAGCAAAAGCATCATTCTCAGCTCCAAAGAACTGAAAATCGGTGGTTGGTTGATTACATGTACAGATGAAATGGAAGTTCTTCAGTCTCATCCATATTTACTTTCTTTGTTGAGTGTATACGCTTAGATGGCTAGTCATCTTGATTTAGCTGAAAATTGTTTTCTTAGGTGTTTACTTTATGTAAACTAAAGAGAACAAATTAGGTTTTATGTTATCTTTTCATATACAAGCAAGAGACTTGGTATTCTTTTTGTGTTTATGGTTAAAAAGAAGCTCATGAATAGTTAAAGAGGCCCCTCTTATTTAGGAAATAAATAAATAAATAGACCCCTCTCACTGCATTGTTTACCGTTGCACATTTGTAAGCATGCTTATTTATTTATTTATTTTTATATACGTACATTTATAGCTAAAATGCCAAACAGTGATGGATGGTGGATGGTTAAATAGGCCGCTCAACTAGGGGAAAACAAAAGAGAGGCTCCTCTCAGTGCATTCTTTACCGTTGCACAACCGTTAGGTGGTCTTTTTTTAATATGAGTTGCTATACTTAGAATCAACATTCTGGTGGAAATGTTGGACCTAAAACATCACAATTGTTGGATGCTATAGGGGCAGACTCATATGGGTCCCTCTTTATAACATCCAAAGATAGATGATACAATTAACAATTTGGTTACAATGGTAGGTCTAAATATCATTTTCCTTTGGGTAAAGTGCAAAAAAATCATCTTGAATTATGTTTAAATTTGCAAATAACATTCTTTAACTATATTTTGTACTTAAAAGCCCCAAACTATAACATTTTGTTTGCAAAATGCCCCAATACCTGGGTTATATTTTATTAAACGACCATAATGATCTTTCTTATTGAAATACACTTAATTCATTTTTCTAATTTGAAATAAATAATTAAAAAAATTCATACTAATTTGATAACATATTCTCACATAAATTTACCATTAATTTTTTAAATTAATTGTTTAAATAAAAATCTTAAGTAGAAAATTTTAAATTAATTTAATCAATTTCTTAATTTTTCATTAATATATTACATGAAAAGAAGGTATTTTTTTATTTTATTTAAGTAGTTTATTAAATTTTCATCAATATATTGTTTGAAAAAGAAGGTATTTTTCTATGATAAAAAAGTTTAAACGGGGAATAATAAGTTTTATTATAAATAATAAAATTTTAATAATAAGTTAATCATTTTAGAAAATGGTATTTACAAATCTAATTTTTTTTTTCCATTTTTATAATAAATTGATATTAATAATAAAATTAACGTAAATTGTATAATTAATATTTAGATAAGAGAAAAGATAATAAAAATAATTTAATAAAAAATAACAAATTTAATGAGAAAGGGTAAAATAGTCTTTTGTCATAAATTTGTTCCTAATTACAACAAATCAATAGTTGAGGGGATAATTTTTAGTTCCGGAAGAATATTTGCAAAAGACCGCTAGTTCGAGGGGGTTTAGTGCCACTTTATCCTTTTCCATTTAATATTCAAACATTTATACCTAAAAAAACATAATAGCTCATGGATGGTGGATAGTTAAGGAGGCCCCTCTCATTGCATCCTTCACCGTTGCACAGCTGATTTAAAACTTACATATATATATATACTACTGGATGAAGTTGGTTAGAATTCAAGGAATATGTATATATATTCATCCAGTAGTTCTTGCAAAAATGATCCTAGATTATCTTTTAACGTCTATATTTACCCTTACCCAAGTTGTAACTTCTTGTGCTGAAACATAAATTTTTTTTATATATAGTTGTCATTTTTCAAATACGGAGTATATAGTTGAATAGCTCTAAAGAATTCCCTCTTATCCTTTCACATTCTCTCTTTCAAGAACAAGTTGAACTTTAGTTTCATCACCAATCAAACCAAACAATCCTGTAAATATATTTGCCTGATGAAAGGTCTTGATAGGTTCAAAACTCTTTAAACAAGCTTAGACAACTGGTAGAAACCATTGGGGTAGGAATATGCTTTCAGTCCAGCACCGCAATGCAAAATCCTTTCCCCATTACTTACGTTGAAGGAAGGAAGAGGTATGGAGAGAAGATAGGAAGGAACAAACTTTCATCGTTCGGTAGTAAGGAGACAAGAAGAGAATTAATAATAGAAGGGATGAGTCATCCTTCATTCTTTACAAATTTTCAACCTTCCAAATATGACTGGAAGAGTGGAGGCAAAGCAAGCGGGACTATTCTCTAGGAACGTCTCATCCATCCCTTCTCCTCTCCCTTCCATCCAAATCTTTTCTTCTTACCGAACGAAGCATTAAGAATTTCCAAGCCACAAAAGCAATACGGATATTAGGGGGTTTCTAAATTTAATACTGTGCTGTCAATCGGACCCATTTTTTGGGCACCTGGCTATAACATTGAGTTCTCATAATCTGGAAATACATCATTACAAGCAACAGAACTGAGGCATTTCAACATAATTTCTTGCTTTAAGAATGTTCGATAAAGTATTTACATATAGTCTGCAATCATATACCTCCATTAAGTGTCTCATTTGGCAAACTGGGACTTCATTCTATCCAGGTGAGCTCAAAAATTCCTATTAAGACATCAAAAAAGGCTATCGAACCAAAATTATAGATGTGGTGCTGTTTTGGAGCTTTTTTGGGCAACTCTTTAAATGAAAATAATAAATAATAATAAAAGGAGGGCTGTATGGATTTGGATCTCATAAGAAAACCTTCCTTATTGTCCTTGCAGCAGCACGGGAAAACAACTTTCCAGCTAGGTCGGCCGGCATACGAAGAAACTGTTGCTGCAAATCTGGTGGAAGCTGCAAAATATATATAATTATAGCAAGATGAGGAAAACAGGAGCCTCAAGTAAAAAGAGTAGCGATTTCTTAAGATAGGGGAGTATAAAATTTGTTTCTTTGTTTACGAATGAAGAAATGAAAAATGTGGAGAAACCAATGTCAACGACAATAAATCTGAACCAAAACATAAACAACTAGAATTGTAACTTGAGCCGGCCAACCACAAACCAACCAATGGCGGATTTAAGCTTAAGTTTTTGGACATAGGATTGGGCGTATGGTAAAATCACTTCTGAGGTTTGGGTGGTGGTACTGGTTTCAAGCAAACCAGCCCACCCAACCTAAACACAGTGTGATGCCTTTTTGTGAATAATTATGTTAGTATATAAATTGGCATGAAATTAAAGATAAGCAGCTATAGCCTGAGAGGGTATAAATATAATAAATAGATGAGTAGGTTAATTATGTATTTAGGTACTTGAATTTTGCTTCATTCTTACCTCGGGAATAATAGAAAAGAAGGGCAGAAATCTCTGAACAGTTGCAAATTGATAAAAGACTGCTGATGCTTCCTCTGAATAAGTTATCTGATTCTTGAATGGGGTGACCTCTTCATCTCCCTACATGATTATCATTAATTAGGTTAACAAGTATAAGAATCGTTGGATTATAAACTAGGGAAGCTTTCAGCCTTTTGTTTTTCCTTTTACTTCAGAATAATAGTTCATATTTTGTTCACTTCTTGAAATACACAACTGGTCATTTTTTTCCAGTTTCTGATATTTGAAGACATTAAATTTCCTTGTCTTACTAAATTACATTTGAACTAGGTTTCCAAGTGCTTTTTGAGTAAATTTTGTTGTTACTTGAAATTTCACTTGGAGAATTTACACTATGATAATAATACCTTATGATCCATAAACTTACCATTCTCAACATCAAATAAAGTATAAATTAACATTATCATGGCCACTAGTTGAACAAAGTAATCCAAATTTGAGTTTGGAATGGTTTGAAGGATCATAAATAAAATGCCATATCACATCTCCAGCAGGTTCATTAAAATATCTCATTTCCTGAATATGTGTGTTTTATTTTTGGTAAGGTATATGAGTGTATAATTTGTGCGTGCAGAGAGAGAGAGCTGTTGCCTGGATATGGTTCTCTCTCTCTCTCTCCATACAGGTACTCATGCGTAGATCATTTCAGCACCTAAGATGAATTTATTTAGCATGCATAAGAAGTTCAGGTGCAAAAGCTTTTACCTCGCTGGAGCTTTCATTCCTTTGAAACCCTGATAACAGTAGCACAAGGCGATGCAGGGTTTTCAAGTTGATGACATCTTCGTCAGTCAATGAAGAGGAAGAAACGGAACCAACAAAAGGTAGGTGTGGAGTTGTGGCAGAAGCTATAGAATCAAGGGTAGCTACCCCAAGCGCATCCAAACCCTGTAATTATTTGCAGAAACAATCAGGAGGAAGGAAACACTAGGTCTTGACTCAAGTTGATTGAACTGTGTAGATTATGAGCTGAATACAGTTCTGTATCTGCAGAATACATGCATTGTCGCCGTTCACTAAGTTTACGTTGATTCCTTCATTCCAAAAATGACCCACGAGTCCAATCTAACATTATCTTTCATTTTTAGAAGCAAGGCCGCATATATACACATGGCGCTATACAAGAACAAGAAAAAATCATTTTAAGGGAAACTGCCCCCATTTAGCCATCAAGTGCCTTTTCCCCATGCATCATGAGCAAGAAATTCATAAAGTACCTCACCCTAAATTATCTGTCTGGACTCTGGATCAAGAATATGACCAAAAAAGGCCTCACCATGCACCTTTTTAATTTAACAAATTAAGAACCAATTAATCAATGTTTTCAAACTGTTCTATAGCGTCTTTCATTTGACATTTGACAAGAAATCCCATATGATCATAAAATTTGAAATAAGAATATTCTCATGGTCATATTTTATAAACATCAGGTGAACCTTGACATACAAAAATTAACCCTTGGCGATTCACTAACCACCAGCTCGATCGCATAGGAAATTAATATTCCAACAGTTTTATATGCATTCTGTTATCATTTTATAGCCTGACGCAATTAACCTGAGAAAGAGGCCCAGCCGATTCAATCTTGTTTGATCAATGGGTTAAAGCAAAGACCATAGTGTCCAATTTCAATTTATGACCTGATTCTACTACTCGGGTCATTCAGATCACTGCAGGTCAGCCTGATTATTACTGAAGCTTTTGCTGTTACAATGAGAAAAGATGTGTGCTTCTAACAACTTTGCATGGGCTTCACATGGTCCAATGGACATTTTGTCACATTTAATATTATATGATAACCAAGGAAGTTATCCTCTCTTTTATTCCTTTCCTTTTTCTTTTTTCCTTTTGGGTGTGTTTGCGGGGTGGGGAGGGAAGTGGGGGGGCTGGGAGTGGAGAGACAGCAAGTCCTAACAAATTGCAAGCATGCCCAGTGCATGAGAATCTTGTGCCTTACAATTCTCCTACTCTTTGAATGGTTAATCAGTAAAGATGCCCAAAACCCATACCTTAGCCAATTCTTCAAGAAGTATTTCCCTCACAAAAGAACCCTGCCAAAATTTCAATCAGATCTACAGTTAGTTTCATGATCTATAAAAGAAAAAAAAGAAGAAAAAAGCATCAAGATTGTTGTACCTTCTCAGTTAGAGTGAAAGAAAGGATTTGCCTGACAACCACCCTGGTATTGTTGTCTTCCACTTGCTTCTTAACCAAAGCCCTCTCTGTTCTGGCACGAAGGGACTGCCATAAGATTATTTCAGGTTCTGAGTAAAATTAGCTGGTGGGAATGGAAATCACAAACCAACGTTGTTGGAAAAGAAACATAAAAAGGATCTCATTCCCTACTATGTCAAAATAAATTTTCAAGAAAACAACTAAATTCTCGTGAGCAATCTAGAACATTAAAAATAATTACAATTATGGTTTGACATGAGATTTAAGATAATGGCAGATGAAAGTACTTCAAAGAAACTAAATATATAAATAAATACAAATAATTGGTGATATGGAAAGAAGTAAAGCATCTACTTATAGGAGATACATCTCAAACCCATGATCATGACCAATGTTTAGAAACGAAGACCAAACAAGCTGACCACCAAAGTCTTAGCTCGAGTAGGAGAGGTTAAGGGGTCAAGCCCCTATTGGAACATGTGTGTAACTTACCTATTGAGAAAAGAAAACCACCAAAGTCTTAGCTCGAGTAGGAGAGGTTAAGGGTTCAAGCCCCTATTGGAACATGTGTGTAACTTACCTATTGAGAAAAGAAAAAAAAAAAAAACCTGCTTGATTAAATTCCAGTACTGTGATTTTTATTATCAAATCCTTCACTTTATTGGGCTAAACCAGGATGTCTCAATTGGACAGATAAAATTTGTGTTTGGTAGAAATTACATCTATTAATGAAAACAAGAACAAGAGTCGCAATAGTAAGAAAAGATATGACGGCTTAATAGTTAAAGAAAAGACATGACCCTAGAGGGTGAAGAATATAATGATAACAGACGCTAAGTTCTAATATAACTTGACAGTAATGCCAACGGAAGTCAGACTCAGTCTCAAATGAATTTCAAGAGTCTTGTTGTATTTGAATAACGTCTGATTCTTTAACATTGCCATCTTGACTGCCATGATAGTAAATCACACTTCGGTTTCATTTCTCCCATCTCTCTCTCTCTCTCTCTATATATATATATATATGCCCTATTCTTATCTCTTCTTATTGCCATTCTATGCAGAGGAAAGCCTAAACTTTCCTTTATTTCAGTTTGAATTGAAAGACAATAAAACAAAAGAGCCATATTAGTGTGCCAACACATTCCAGGTCTCTAACCTTCTCACAATGGTTCCCTCGAACCAACAGACAAAGAACAATGTCAGAACAGATGGCTAAGTACTCATTACAGAGTTGGTGGTTTTGCCTATGTTTCTTTGGTGGAGAGGAGGGAGGATAGAGAATTTGCACCCATGACGGTTCAGCTCTTGAATTCCACCTCACCACAGCTCTCAACAATTTCTCTCTTTTGCCACATCTCTTTGACGGAGAAGAGAGAGGTTGTGGTGGTGAGAGGTGGCGGGAGAGAGAGAACAATAGAGATGGATAGGGCCCAGGGGTAGAGAGAGGGAGGAGAAGACACTGAATTATGCTGAGGGGCAAATTTTCCATTCAGGATTTGTTGATAATGTCGGCTGTGCATCACCTATTGTGTTGTTTAGTGTGAAGGTAGAAAGGTAAATTTGCAGTGACAATTTGGCTCAACTAATGACAAATGCTTACAGGAGAGGTCGAGTAATTTTTCAAAAAAAAATCATACATGAGTGAAAAGTCCAAACCTCAAGGGAGGTCAGGGTGATTCACTCTTAAATACAGTACTCTCTAGATATCCTATGATGTACGATAAAAAGCAGGAATATCAAAACAGAAAACAACGACAGTTCTCTCTAGATGTCCTACAATCTCTTGTTTAAGCCAATAACGAGTAGGAATATCAAAGACAGGAAAATGCAACAAGTATAAAGCACAACAAAATAAAAAGAGGCTATAGGAACAAGTCAATTCAAATGATTTTTACCAAATATATCTTTTTAGCAACTTGTTCGTATGATCTTGAATTTCAAGAACTGCCATATTGTAACAATACCCAAAATTTTCTTTTTATTTGACACTGATTTTTGGCTTTAGTTTTATTGTAGTCATTTTTTGGGTTGGGGGAAATAAAGAGGACAGAAACTGCAACAAGGTTAGCTTTAAAATGACACATTACTGTCAAGTGCTCACAAATGGTTCCTCAAAAGTTTAAGATATTAGAGCAGCCTATTCTTTTAACATGGTATTAGAGCATGAAGCCCTATGGTCGAATCTCCAGTCGCGTTCCAAATAATATTAAAAAAAATTACATGGCCGGCACAATCATCAGAGGCCATATGTGAGAGGGTGTAATAGAAATATATTCTTGTACCCCTCTCTTAAGCATAAGCTTATAAAATAAGTGATTTTTAACAATTAAAGGAATACACTCCAAAAATTTTAATAAAAAAGCACAGTCCATTTGTAATTAACTTTGTTAAAAAGTAGAAGCAACACTGATTACAGAACTGAAGGACGTAATTCTTGAGCATGAAAAATTCAAATTGGATGCTAGGTCAAGAAGAAAAAAGTAAAAAACAAAATGGGAAGAATAAAGAATCATACCTCTTCTAGTAGAGACTCTAACCGATCAATCCGGAACACGCCATCCTGACAAGATTATAGAATCGCAATTAAGGTTCATGAAGTACATTAACAGCATGTGAACAAATTAGCATTAGTAACAAGTGGAGTATTAAAAAGTACGACAAAAACTCACATAAATAAAAAGGGAAAGATCGTAGTTGCAATATATACCTTATATAGAAGATCTTGCAAGGAAGACTTCAGCTTGGGTGAACTGTCTGTTAGTACTTTCCTAGCAATCCATGGGTATGTACTACCCAAAACTTTGTAATTTGGGTTAATGCCGATTGCAATCCCCTCCAAAACAGCAAGACTGAGATATGCCGAGAAATGTTTGATGTTGAAAAGAATACGATATTAACAATCAGCGCAGAAGAAAAAGGCACTCAAACTTATTCAAGAAATCCACTGAATCTAGAGATGACTCTTGAAAACATTATCGGATATATGCACGAAAGTAAAAGAGCTTTACCTCCGAATGACAAGAGAAAAGTACGAAGGTATTTGAAATTTGAACTTGTACCTGCAAAATGAAAAATGAAAAATCCTTCAAACACCAAAACCCCTTAATACAAATTTTTTGTATCTGATCAATTTATAAATCATTGCATTATGTCATATGTTAACTAATGTCAGTGAACTTTCATTTTCTATAATTCTAAACCTCTTCTTCCTATTGTTTATTGAGGACTAGTCACTCAACTAAGACACTTCTCAAGAAAATAATTACTGAACTAAGACATCTCTCAATAAAATAATTACTAAACTTCATAATTTACGTACCTATAATTGGCAGGAAAGTACTATAATTAAATTTTGATTGGTATGCCATATCAATTCTCATGTGAATTTTATGTTCCGTACATAGCAGCAAAATTTCATACATGCAATACTATCAGATCGTTCACATATTTGGTATACCAATCAGAACTGCGCTAGAATTAAATATTTTATATAAAAAAATAAATTCCATAAAACTTTGTTTACTAAATTAGGTGATTAAACATACAGATTGAGTAGGAATGCATCATCCAAGCCCGAATATGTATTTGGTGGATTAAGACAATCTTCAAGTTGAATTTATTCGATTGAAGGACAAGTTATGTTTTCTACAATCATAGGGTGGCCATCTGTAGTTATTGTGGGTTTTGTAGCTTTTCACCTTTCTGTAAATTTCATGGACAGATTGTGGGTTATGAAGTGTAACTAACCTCTTCCATACTTCATGTCATCAATTCACCACTTCAATCCACTTGGAAGAATTCTCTCAATAATAGTTATGACAAGATTTGCCATCATGCTCTCTTTTTTATTCTTTGTTCTTTTCATTTGTTTTACTTGCTTCTCAGGAAGTTGCTCTTTTCCTTGTATTTCATTTTTGCTCGATAATTCATCTTTCTCTCTCTCTCACCACACACAAAGAAGGAGAACAATAAAAGGAAGTTATTGATTTAACTTGAGGCATGATTTAATAGATGTAGTACAGTAAAATCAAAAGATAATACTTGTAAGTACCCATTTAAACTCTTGCACTGGCCACCATTATAAATTCCTAAAGGTTCATTTCGTGAACCCCAACAAGAAAACTGATCACTTGACTGAATCCAAGAAAAACATCTACCGTAAGCATCAATATATTCAATTAGTACATAATTATGATATTTGCAAACAAAAAGCAGGGGGTATCAGAAAACTATACATGGTAGTTCCCAAATTTCCTAGAAGATCTCCAAAACTTATATTCCTGACCCCTTTGGCAACAGCACTTTGGAAAACACCTTCAAACAGAAAGCACCCTGTGTCAGTACTACTAGATACAACAGATGAATAGAGCCCTTCCCAGAAAGAACTCAAAGACCATAAAACCTTTGTCGAGGGAACTCCAAAGCTAATAAACATAAGTCATTAGAATTTGGACACTCATGTAAGGATGTAGACAAAAACCTGTTAATGCCTTTGTAACAGAATCCTTGTCTGCCGTTGGTGGAAGAAGCCTGCAGAATTTATAAATAGACCAGCCTTACAAATATTATCACCCATAAGAACACTTTCGTCGGAAACTAAACGGGAAGATAATCATGATACCCGAGAGTGACAAAGTCCTTGGCCAATGCATCAAAATCACGATTTACAAGATGGAGACAAGCTTCAATAAAACCATCACGAAGCTCTTGTTTAAATTCACCCATCATACCAAAATCTGAGGGTGAAAGTTACTCTAGTTAATTCCCATATACAACTTAACAAATACAGCTTCCCAGATGACAAAATTTGAGTACAAAATTGCAGCAAAATAATGTATTGAATCATATAAAATCTCAGCCACTAGAGATACAATTAACTTGGGTGGCAACAAATTAATGCAATGCATTGCAAGAAAAGTAACAGTATATACTCAACTGTTCTAAGATTTGTGTCAAGTTCATTTACAAATTTCAATGACTTTCATGCACCTTCACATTCAAATCTGTAAGGAGAATTGGAAATAGGACCCCCAGTAACAACTTATTGCTGTTTTGAGTCTTTTGACTGGCTATGTGATATTTAAGCACTAGGGTGACAGTTAATTTTGAAAGTGATGGAGCTTTCAGGCATCTCATAGGAATGAAATTATTCCATTTGGTTTCAAAGTCCTTTGGCACAAGTTTATTATTAATAATTTAACAAACACATATAAGCCACTGCAAAAAATATTACAAGACACATATTTCAAATGCTGCCATAAAACGTGAAGGGCCTTTCATTTTTTTTCTTATACATTTAGTTTTGGATAAATCAAAATGAACTCTTTCTAGTGATAAGGCCACGTAAATCTCAGTTAGATAATCTTGTTTTGGAATATCTAAATGCACATAAAAATAAAGTAATCTGTATCAGGTGCTCCTAGTTTCCAAAAGATCTTTTGGAGTGAAAAGGGAGAAAATAATTATGTTCTCATATGAATAAATATCTTTTACGACTCCACCAATAGACATTGATGTGGCTTGAATTAAAGCATTATGAATCCCAAGGAGGCATGTAGGTTGAGGCAGTAAGAAAAGAGATTCTCTAAAGTGAAATAAATAAATAAAAAAGAAAAGGAAGAGAAGCTTAATCCCAAAGACTTGGATTAAAAGTTGTTGAATATATTTCCACTTGGCTCTCCACTTCTTTCTTTTTTTCCCCACCTGGATTATATAAACAGAACTTGAGAGCCCATTCTTGTCTTTTTCGTCTATAACAGTCTAGAGGCATCATTTACAGTCGTATGATGGCACTTCAGGAGTAAGTATTACCTACCATAATGTGACGTTCCAAGTTACAACAATATTAAGTAGAACCACCCCATGGGGAACGGGGCGGGTGGGGAATGGGGATCATGTCAATCCAAGTGGTTGTTCAATAATGTCATCTTATGTACCAGAACTGACAAAATTAATTCAATAGCAAAATTCATCAATTATATTGCTGAAATTATTCAATACTGAAATAGCTATCATGGTGATTCCGCCACTTCAAGTTCAATAGTGGATGAAGAAATGAGATAGTGACTCCTCAAAAAGAAAAAAAACTAGGCCATACAAATAGCAAAGTTTCAAGTTATTGCATTGAAACCTGAATCATCAATCAACAAAACTGCAATAGTACGCACACATTTAATGCTCTTTTTATCATTACAAAGATCAACATGTTTAAACCAAAAAAAAAAAAGTGAGGGAACAAGAAGTTATGAATGTATAACATGTTAGGCATGATAAATTTAAGAGACAAATGAGCAAAGGTATGTTTGTCCTACTATCTGATACAAAAATGATTTAAAATCCAATCAGATTAAATTGATGTGGAAAAAAAGACACATTACTAAATATTACTAAAACAAGAAAGTTGAAGGATGTCATATGTGATAGTACCTGTCCATTTTTAATAAGCCATATCCTGTAAGCATAAATCAAAATAGTACCTAAATAAGCTAGTTTCCCATCATATGTGCGAAAAAGGTTTCCAGGGTGTGGATCTGCATGATAGAACCCATATTCTAGAAGTTGATTAAATGAGCAGTAAACTCCAATCTGTACAGCGCCAAGAAACAGATATCCGTTTGTCATTTTAGAAAATGATGTAGGCTAAATATGACATTTGTTTCCATTCAAACTACAAGAATGTGTCAATGTGATTAGTTTCACCGCTAGACCTCAACCAAGTGAAGATCCTTCACGTCGGACAACTTCTGCCCCTACACAAGATAAAAAGGACAAAAAATTACAAGGAATACAAAGTTATATAATTGAGAGGGATGGGAAAGCAACTTCAGGAAAGAATGACTCCTTATGGCCGCTCCAATGATTTTAAAAGACCTAATATGCGGTCAATATCATGAAATATCTTTCATAGCAATTCTTACAACTTCCTACCATACTGTTTAGTTATTTATGCAATATAATTACATGCATAAATGGTTTGAATAAATGAGTATGGTGTAGCATAATATCTCTACCAGGCATCTATTTACACAAGTCGAGGAATAGCGCTTGGAAGTGTAATCCTTACAAAATATTTCTCTTGCAAACTCCCCTAGAAAAAAAGAGCAAAGGAAGACTAAAAGAGTATTTGTTTAAAGTAACTGCCCTACTTTTTTGTCCATTTAAGAAATACAATCCTGGTAGAAATATGGTGCTTCAGATAATCACTAATAAACCTTATAGATTGAACCTACATGATGGACATTTTCCAGTTTTTTTAACAAGAAGAATGTGGCACCACTGTTTTTTAGAATGAATATAGATGATTAATTACTTGGTCTCTGATCAGCAACGAAGAGCAAGCTAAGTTCTATGGCCAATTGATCATTAAGTGTCGTTCTTCCAAGAATCTGATTCCAAACCCATCATTAAATGCACTAGTAACTGTAGGGAAAAGAAAGAAAAAAGATAAGAAAAGATAAGAAAAAGATGGCATAGTCTATACCTCCACCCACTCCATAGTAAGGACCTTACGAGTTGTTTGCTCCACATACATTTCTGGAACCACAACATCTTGTAGACCACCATATAGCTGTCTGATTGAACACATAGCAGGCAACAGTCAGGGCATCCAGCCATATATTCCTCTGTCCCAAAATAAGTCTCTTTTAGGGATTTCAAATTATTAAAGGAGATGCATTTAATTGCATACATCCCTTTGAAACTCTAAAAACTAATTCTTCAAAATTTTAAAGTTTAAGTTTGTAAAATTGGGAAAATTTTCAAAACATGAGGATAATTTAGGATATTGTTTGTACATTGACTTTTCAAAAGGGGCTGTTATTTTGGGACATCCTAAAATTGAAAGATGGACACTTATCTCGAGAAGAAGGGAGTAAAATATATTTCATTATAAAGTAACTGAGTAACAGTGGTTACTTTGAATAAACATGCAACATTTTTTATCAATAAGCTTATTATAATGCACTAGAATTCTATAATTTGAGGCTACGATAGGTGAACTAACAGAAGACGTTCCAGAAATTTCAATGCCTTTGCTAGAACCTCATGGAATTACACTGTAAATGACAAGTCGAACCATTTGAGATTTCAACTCTTATAAGAAAATTTTACCTACATTTCCAATTATCAACCATCAGTTATCATTGTTGGCGTTAAGAATAGATGTCTACTATTTGGTTTATTGGGCTCTACAACGCAGTCTGGAGTGTGTTTTCAAGAATCTTTATCAGAGCACCCTGATCGATCAAGCTAAAGCAACAGATCTATCAGTCCTAGTCCAGAAAGTCAGGACCAATTGACATAAGGCTGTGGAGCAGTAGGAGCAGTAACTGCAGTCGCTTGACTGATCAAGGCAAAGCTCGACCTGTCAACTCCCTCCAATATCTCTAGTACCAATCAAGGTTTAGCTATCGATTTGAGTGCTTGAATGTTCTTGTAGCATCCTTTGGTTCTTTTATGGTAAATTGTTGATCTCCTATCCTCCATGCAAGTAGACACACTACTGAACTACATATATTCTTACGTTCTTGTATGCTTTGTGATTATATTTGTTAATCTATTGTCTTGGTAAGATTCTGCAATTGTTGCATCACAATAAATTAAATGTAACCTGTGGTGCAACAACAACAAAGTGGTATTAGAGCTTTAGATCTTCGGCTGTGACTTGTGATACAGTCGAATATAGCGAGTACCAAATTCGAGGTAAAAAGTTTTGATAGAGATTTTATACCTTTAGCAAATGAGAATGAATGATTTACTGAAATTGAAAGAGTTACACAAATCACTACAAGAAAGACCAACAAAGCCTAAGAAGATGAGCCACCAAACTGGCAGAAATTGGGCAAGAAGACTGCCAGCGCCAATTGACACAATCGCTTAGATAAAGTCACATACAATGGAATCAATGAAGAGAAGGTAGCAGAGATTTGAAGGAAATTCGAAAGATTGTGCATTGTGAAAGCAAATGTGTGGCCTTCAGATGGAGGACAACATGAGTTTGTGGAGCATCTCAACACATCTTCAATGACTCAATTGTTGATTGGGAAAGACAAAACCATACTTCTATGGGCTTCGTTACACTAATCCTAGGACAGCCTGATGATTACCTTATTTAAGAAGATACCCTTGAGCTTTTGATGATCACGAGAAGAGAAGAAACCAGATAATTAAGAGTCCCAAGTAGAGGGACTTAAGGTGAAGAATGAAACAAATCGTGTAAGGAGCAGAGGCAACGGAAGAAGTTCTGATGATAGGAACAACTCTCAATTGAAGTCTCAAATAAAGCACGTGGCGGAGTGCTTTCACTGTCACAAGAAGGGAAAAAACAATAGCGTCTATCAAACTTGGGAAAGAGAATTGGAAGGGAGAAGCAGGATAAATCTGTAGAGTCAGCACGTGTGGTTGCTGAAAGCCTGAAAATATAGAGAATGAAGGAGAACTTCCAGCTGTCTCTTCCAAGACAAATAATCTTGTAGATTCTAGATACTAGTTTCTCCTATCACGTGTCCAAAAAAGGAAGAAGTTTGATATATATAAATTAATACAACAGGTAAACGGTTCTAATGGAAAATGATGGTGGACCTGCATATAAGGCGATTGGAATAAGCACAGTGAAAACCTAACGGAGTTGTGAAAATTCTTGGGGAGTTCATACATGTCTCTAACTTCAAAAAGAATTCGAGTTTTCCGGGCATTCTCAACTCTCTCAATTGTATTTATTCAATAAAACGAGGAACTAAAAATATGCAAAAGGACCTTAATCATAGGCCAAAAGATTGGGAATTAGTAAAAGCTGGTTGGAAATATAGCCACAGGTGGAGCAAGCTATAATACCTCTTGCAAATATTGATTTACAGATAAAGCTGGTTGGTAATACTTGAGCATTATTCTAAAACATTCCATTAATCCTTTATTTTACCGTATTGGATTAAAATCTATTCAATCAAGCATGATTAGTTACTTACTAAGCTGTCAAAAGTGACTGGTTTGGCATGGTGGATGTCAAAACAAAGGATTTTGAAGTGATTTGATATTTGTATTGACATTTTTGCAGTGGTTTTGTACATGTGGAAGACTAATGTAGAGGTTTGTTATAAGTTTTGAGAATTTTGTATAATCGATTATGTTTTGCTTGGGAACGATTAGGACATGATATGGTTATTTAAAATTCTTCCACATCCATCATTGATCAGTGCTGCAACATCCCACCCAGAGATATGTCCAAGTCAGAGTCTAGTGTTGTTTGTTGTTAGATGGAGCCTTATATCCAGTTTTAAAACATCCTATTTACCAAAAGAATTGAATTAGAGTTGTAATGTAGTAGTTACCTTTTAGGTTTACTCTATATGATCATTTGCCCAAGAAATAGAACCAACCCAAGTCATATCGTACCAACTTGTGCCATTGAGACCTGATCAAAGGACTTTAGGGGGATCGCCTTCCGGGTTGCCCCGTCCTGTTTGCTTGACAACAATTGAGACATATTGTGCTTATTTTAAATGATTCCACATCCCCAACTGATCATTGCTACAATATCCCACCCTGGGACACGACCAAGTTAAAGTCTAGAGTTGTTACATGGAGAGCCTTGTAAAACATCCCATTTATTAAATGGAATAGTAGTTGGGTACCTATCAGACAGGGAAAACTCTAATACAACATGCTACATGAAAGTTTAATCTAGCATGAGACTATGCATGGAACATAAAATATTGAGACAGAGAGAGAGGGAGAGAGTTATCAGTGACTGAAATGTATATGTCACATTTCTCATACAAACGTTAGAAGTATTTCAAAAGGCATTCTCTTACCTGAACTTGAGTCCATTCTTTGCTTCATTATTGTAGTCCATCTCCTGCATTCAATGTGATTACCTGTATTCAATATGAAGCACTAAGAATATTCCTCTTGTAAGAGAGTTTTAATTTGCTTTATGCACCATAGATGTTCTCGAGTTGTAAGTAATTTCCAAGATGAAAAAGAGACATGCAACTGTAAAAGCAATAGTGAAGTTTGAAATTGTTTAACTGTTCCCTTAAGAAATATGAAAATGTCAACTAAAGAATGCCAAGGTATTAGCAAAAAAACATGTCTTGAATCTCTTATGCAAAGATCTCAGAAGCAAAATCACTAATATCGCATTACACTTTCTTCTGAGTGACTGTTCTCTCCAAATCTTCAGTAATTCCATATGTGCACACCGTGACAATTCCAATAAGTTGGTACAGGCACATATCTGAATAGAGTGTAGCTTTGATGCAATCATTAATCCACACTCCAAACAGTCTTTGTGCAGGCAGTTTAATCACTCCACCGGAAGATTTGATCATAATAAATCTCTGGAGCAAAAGAAAACATGATTCTCCTATATCAACTCAACAAAGCCTTTTCACAACTACTTGGGGTTGGCTACCTGAATGAGAGTTATTCATTCTGCTCTATCTTAGACCATAACCTAGTCAACCACATAATACTATTATCTTTCCTTATGAACTCTACCCATGTTAATTTTGACTTCCTCTAGCATTATCCTTGATGTGGACCATGTTACTATTCCTAACCAGTGCACTTAGTGGTCTTATTTGCACATGATTCTCCTATGCAAAAAGACAAATAATGCTGGCATTCACAAATAAAAAAGGAGATTTCAAAGTTTTAAGATCCATATAACATCAAACATAGAACACACTGAAAAAACTCTCTTGATCTTCCAACAGCCTATAAAGGAAAATCTGCCAGAGGCCACCCACTAATATCCAATAAACTGAAAAGCTTTTGCTTTTTTTAGAAGCCAGTGGAATGCAAACAGCAATGGCTAGCTATACTCCTATCATCCTCACACCAGTAAAAAACTCCAGAGCATGTCATTAGTGTTCATATGTTACGAAATGAGAGCATAGTTAAATCTTTTAATCTTTGAATGTGGCTTTCAACAGCATATCAACCATATCAGGGAGTGTTTGTGCAGGTTTTAACAAACATAGCTTCTGAGTGTAGTAAATGTAAACTTCAGGGTCTGTCAGTATAATTATCCGAACCTTTAAAAAAAACATCTAAACAGAAGAGCCCAGATCTCGAATTTTCCCAGAGATAGCACACTGCACACAGGAAACGCGTAAAAACAGCTCAACCTTGATAATACTTGGAGAAATCATATTTTTTTAGAGGAATGTGGTTATATGTCAACCAATGGCATGGAAATGGTTTCAGTACCTTGTCAGGACAAAAAGAGGAAAACTAGTGCAATACGATCATGACATCGAAGACCAATATATGTAACAATTAGAAGTCATTAGATTAATGTTGAAGGACCATTGTTTGGTGCAATGATCAAAGATCGGGTTGCCAAGGTGAGAACGAATGTTAGATCTGAGAGTAGCACCAGATTGTGCAATAATCCCATGTTTTGTCCATCCCTTTCAACACTCTATACTGGCGGGATCAACACTAAGTGGGGACTGAGGGCTTTATGGTGTTTTAATCAAGTTGAAGGAACTATAAGGACTAAAGGAAGGCAAGAGTGAGCCTAGGAAGAAGAATGGAGAAAAGATACGATTGCCTATGATTCAATGGGAGGTCATACCCTGTATAGAGCTAAATGTTGAGCAAATTCGTGCAGCCAATCCCAAGTGGATGGGACTTATTGATCTGTTAAGAGTCGTACTACAAGGGGCGATGCAGGAAACATTAGTCCAAACTCTTGAAAAAGTAAATGGTAAAAGCACAACTATTTTGACTATATACAGTGTCACATAACATACTTAAACATTGTAATATCATAATAAAGAATTAAGGAATAAATATATACCCGAAAAAGACTTGATGCCCATTCATCAACAACCGCCTACAAATTGAACATATTCATAATCGTAAGACAACTTCAAAACAAGGAAACTTTTAATAAAAAAATGCCAATGTATTTATAGTGGCATACTAATTTACTCCATGAAATGAGACCCAATCAGAAAATGGTGCAAACATCAAGGCTGCAGGTCAACTAGTAAGACATGATACTCATATACCATTTATCAATCACAGCATAAAATAAGTGTGAGGCATTTTCAACCACCAGTTACATGTTGCAAAATTACCTGAAGATCAGTGTTAAATTTGCCAGCCGTTCTAATTAGCCCTGCAAGATAACGCAAGATTAATATGTCCAAGGATATGGCAGCTTGAACCCCAGGCCTCTGCACTTTGATGGCAACAATCCTTCCACTAGGACGAAGCTTAGCTTGATATACCTTTGAAGATACATGGAAGAAAATAAAGAAACAAAAGTTCAGCACCACTTTTAAAGTGGAACACCAAAATAGTGCCCAATATAAGTCTCAGTTAAAAAACAAAAGCAGAAGACCTGCATGATCAAATACAAACCTGCCCAAGTGATGCTGCTGCCACAGGCTCTGCCGAAATCTCTGAGAAAAGCTCATCCATTGGTGATCCAAGTTCTTTCTCTATTGTATTGAAAGCAACTTCAGTGGAAAATGGTGCTATTCGATCTTGCAATAGTGAAAGCTCGTCCAGATACGAAGGTGGTATCAAATCCTAGAAAGATATTACCAGAACATGCACACGCTGAAGATCATTACAAAACGGAAAAAGTATGGCTGAAAATGAGCATATGCTGAATGTTCTATAGATCCGCCTAGTTCAAGCTTGTCATAGGCGACTCATAGCCTGCGTGTGCCAATGGTTAGAGTTTTCCAGTGGTAGCCCTCATATACAATATCAATTCAAATGGAGAAGATTGCAAGCAGGTCTAAGCATAGACAAGATACACATGAACACATGGACATAGGATTGAGGACATATAAAAATAAAATAAAAAGGAACCAAAACTCAACTATACATGGAAAAAATCAAAAGAGGCAATTAATGCTGAGATATCACTAGGCTTTAAATTCCAATAATATGCCATAAAAAGTTGTTTAATCAACCAGTACTCCAAATTGCCTGGACATGCACCAAATAAATTATTATAATAAAATAAGTACTTTTATGGTTTTTAAAATAAGATTTACTTTTTACGATTGTACAGTAGCAAGTAGAGCCATTTCATCCGCACCCACGCCCCAGCCCCCCACCCCCCAGAGACAAAAAAAGAAGAGAAAAAAGACAAGAAAGAAAAAGAGAAACAAGATAACGGTGTTCCAAATTCAGGAGTGATAAAGCAGCCTTTGGCATGTCTCTTAAACCTTGGGTAGAACATCTAAAAAACAAAATAATAGGAAGCACAAGATGTAAGCATCCAAAGCTTACAAATGATCTAACCTTTTCATTAGGTCCAAAATTCCATTTCCCAACAAGCTATTTCACTGGAATTATAAAAATTTCAAACCATGTCGCTGCTATATCAGCATAAATGACCATATCTGGTTCTAATGTTTGCATCAAAAGTTTCAACGTGTTTCGAAATTAATAAAAACTTTAGCAGCATTGTATAAAGGCCCCACCTGAGCTAGTGATAATTAAAAATTTGCACAAAGAGAGAATTGCAATTCAAAATTCTTAGAAGATTTCATCAAAAAAAAAAAAAAAAAAACTCAGTGCAACAAGGCCAAATCAACCCTATTAAAAAGCAACCCTTGGAGATATAATTTTCAGCCTATGCAGTTCATTTAAACTCCTATAAATCAAAACGAGGCAGATGTGGCAGTTCACTTCCAACACTTAAAACTCATAAATAAGTTGATTTCTGGTACATTTGACAACTAAATGGGACCCATCAGATGCTGGTTAACAGCATTTTTTCTTATCCTAAAATGATAAATATCATCTAGAATCTAGCAAAATTTACTAGACTGTTTGTAAGTGAAGCCATTGGAAAACCCGCAAAATATACCAGACACTTCATTGTTTGTACTGCATGTATGATTAAGGGAGCGACACTCACAGAACCGATGATTTTGCCAGAATAGGAATGGGACTTATACCGACAGACAGTGGTCTTACCAGAATACCACAGGGACTTCACATCTATTTACTAAAGGAATGCTCTTCTTAATCTCATATCCTTACTGCCCCTCACATAGTACAATCAAAAGCTTTACTATGGTTGTTTATCATCAATTAATTTATTATAGCAGCAAGCATACTTATAGAACAGATCAAAAAAATAAATTAAAAAAAGAGAGATATATATTAGTAAGTCACAAGCATATGACTTCTTTGCCTTAATTGAAATAGATAATAGGAATGAAACTATTTACAAAATAGAAGGTGATAACTTACAGCTCGAGACGAAACAGCCTGGGCGATTTTGATATATGCCTGCAAAAAGAAACAAAAGGAAAAATTATGCATAATAAAGAAGCAAATATAGTAAGTCAGATGGGTGACTTAAAGTTTTATAACAGCGAAAAAAAAAGAAAAAAAAAAATATGTTATGACCAATAGACCAGTGGCCTAGCGGTAAGCCCCTACTTCCCAAAGGACTACTTCCCAAAGGAAGTTGTGTGAGTACCAACTAAGAAAGAAAATATATATATATATATATGTCATGGCGGCTTAAGGAAGAAATTTCAATACAAATTTACATCACTGACACTTCAAAAACCTTCACAAGTACGGCAATCTCCATTGTTGTTTGGCTCTCTAAGATTCTAAGAATGACAATCTTCATTCACTTTTTTTTTTTTTTTTTTTTTTATTATTATTATTAAAAGAAGGCATTCCATAACAACAGTGTCTGAATTCGGAGCAGTACAAGGACCACAATCATGGTCATTAACAGTCAGGTGACAACAGAGGTAGTTACAAATTCAAAGCAGCATTGGTACAAACCAGATCTAGGATAACAAAACTTGAGGTTTTGAAGTATGATTGTTTTATAATAGATTATCCCAATCAGTTGAAACAGCATCCACTTATACAATCTTTCAAACTTGTAGGAAGAGCTCCACAAAAACCATAAATTTCAAACTTGTTAAGCTTTGGTCACTAGGAAAGGAATTGCTCTTCATTTTAACTAATAAGATTATAACCATTTAGAGTTACTAAGTCAGTTAAAATGTATAACAAATGAGATGCCCAGCGGCACCTGCCTATGTCCATCCGGTGATGTACCCACCTTGAGTTGTCCCCTCATTCATTAGATCCATGTTCTGGCATTAAATGTGCTTAATGGTTGTCCTTCTAGTATGTTGCTAGAATTGTTGTCTTAGATTACTCTTGAGATTCTTTTGGTACGAGCAGGAGAGAAGGCTCAAGATTGGCAAGAAGGAAAGGCTTTTCAGTTTTTACTGTCTGGTAGAAGGAAAAGAAGGGCAGGGAAGAGAAGGAAAGTCTTTCCTTTTGTGCCCGACATTATTCCTTCCTCCCGCAAGGGGAAGAAGATGCAGAAACACGTTTCCTTTAAGCTATATGGAGTATAATTGTAAAATCATGAAACATCCCTTCTTTCCTTACTCCTATTATTCTTGCTCAATCAAACTAAATAAGGGAAAAACCCTTCCATTCCCTACGGATACTTTCTCCATTCCTCGTACCTTACTCTCTAAAATTTCATACTTCCTAGGACGCGAGGGATCAAATCTCGGTCCTTCGACGACTTCAAGTAAGACCAATCAACACGTGCTCATATTGCAAGGGTCTAGTCTAATGTTGATTAGCAACACTGCGTATAAGCAAGAAGAAGAAGTTGAATCGGTTTGGGTCAGCAGAATCGGGCAATTGCCAATATTTTGCTTAAAATACAAGTTGTCTCATGATATGATTAGGTATCGACAAGTCATATTGTGAGACAATCTTCTCTAATGAAATACTAATTTTTTATATTCTCGTTTTTAAAAAAATATATAACAACAAAGTTTTCGATATAATATGTTGTAGTATTTAAATCACATATTTAGATTTGTAATTTTTTTCATAAAAAAAATTAAATAATACATCTTAATCGAGTAAATTTAGCTGTTGCTTAATTCTCTTTTATATGTTCACCATTTATAAGTAAATTGACGTGTTGTATGTGGGATTGGAATCCACCATCCACAAGTCTTTAATTATATAAGCATGAAACATACTTAAGGAAATTCGAAATTTGTACACTACCAGTCTATGTTACAGTAACTCTTCAAAAGTGGTGAAGTACCCGTGTCAGACACTTATTGCTCAGACATGAATATGGGATGTATCCGACACTTTTGGTTGGACATGTACCTTAAAAAAACATATCCAATTAATCAATTATATTGTATTATTACTTTTAAATGAGTTAAAAGCCTAGATTGAACACTATATTGAATAAAACATTATTTTACTCCACAAAATAAAATGAACTAATTAAATAAAATGAACATTTAGCAATGTCCGTGTGTCCTTCTATTTAGCGATTTGGCGAGTCCGAACATGGATACATACCCGTACCCGAGTCCATGTAACATATCACTCTCTGCATCCACAACTTCCACCTTCCCTCCACAGTATGGACATGCCCTGGCGCTTGTTTTCTCCCCAACTCTCTCTCCTCTTCTTCACACACATACACCAACAAACACATTCTCTCTCTCTCTCTATATATATGTGTGTGTGTGTGTGAATATATTGGTTGATATGATGAATTGTGTTTTCTGATTTTTTTGCTCTGAATTGAGATTGGGACTGTTTGATTTAAGACAAAGGTAATCTTATTATATAAGTCTCTTGAATCCTATTCTACCAATGCTGTTTAATTCAGATCAAATATATTGGAACAACAAGAACACCAGTACATATAGGTGTATAATGAGAAAAAGGAGAATATATGAGATGATAATGGTGATCACAATTATCGATTTGATTTGATTTGATGTATTTTGCATGATGTGTGTATTTTTGGATTGTAATGAAGATTTATCACGCAATGTTATATAATGTTGTCCTACAGGACTTTGAACATTTATCTTTGCTTATGGTACATTTTCCATCTCTCTTGCGTTCCTTTCCTTCCAAATCTCAAACCTTCATAGAACATAGAAAGTTTTAGGAAACCCCGGATTCTGATTGTCCCATATGCCTTTTTATTTTTATTTTTTTGTCAATAAAAAGATCTATTTACTTTTGGGGGAGAATAACATCTTCATGTTAATAAGCAAACATACCAAACCGCATTCAACTAAAATATTCTTAATCATGGTAGAATCCACAGACATATCTTAGATAAAAGCATTTAAAAAGTTTAGGAAATTAAATAAAAACTAATCCAAGAACCCAAAGGCTATGGTCTACCGACTTAAACTGGAAAATGAGAAGGGCAGAGACGTGTGGATGTAAATATACTAACAGATGCTCAGAAATTGCTTCGAGATTCAGTAAACGAGACATACCGGTCCAAGTTGTAGCAATATCTTCCGCAGCTGTGCAGCTCTGACCTGCAATCAAGCAACAAAACACGAAATTCAACTTATAAATATATGCATCTATGTATATGAACATATATATATATATGTAATTTCAGAAGAGTCCCAACCTCAAACATCTGGTCTGCTCGATCATTAACGCTATCTATGTACCGAAGCACAAACCACTTGCCGAGTGTGTTGACGATCTGGAGAAGACGGCGAAGAACAACCAACGGTTTGTTCCGATAGATTGCAGCAATCTTAGAGATATTGTACTCCGTCAGAGAATCTGCCTCCGATGTACTGAGCTCGAAGAGATAACCCGAGTACTCGGTGAACGCATCGATGTCGCTGGAGGCGGAGGCCAGTGGCGGAAGACTAGGGGAGGGGAGGGGGAGATAGCTCGCCGGATTCCGGCGGAGACGGCGGCGGAGAGAGCGGTGAAACCTGCGATTGGCGGTAAGTGCAGGCGGAGGAGACGGTGGCGAGACGAGTATCATTGTTCAATTTGTTTGAGCCGTTGTTGTGAAATGGATAATACAGAAAGAGAGTCAAAACGATTTATGCTTATGCTATTGGCGGGAGGAGTGTTGGTTTGCGTTGATTCGTATGGAAATGAAAATTCTGATAGGTTGTAACGATTTGTGTATATGTTATTAGTTGTATGTTTTATGTTATCGGTATTGTTTCCGACTATAGTTAGGCCAAGTGGCACGCAGTTATGGCGTGGCATTGATAGGTTAGGAGAGTGCACACGTACTTATGTGGTGGGTCCCACTGTGGGCCATTTAGAACCCCTACCAGGAGAGAGTTAACCTTGATAAAATTGAAAATTAAATACTAAAGTTATAGTTAAATTGTACTTAGTAAATTAGTAATAATAAAAATTGAGATTTTTTATTGTCACTTAATTTTTTTATTTCATTTTAAATAATATTTAATCAAATTATTAATTGAATAAACACTTGATCAAATGAAACATTCTCTTGTTTCAAATCCCATCAAACAATTTATGCAAGAAATGACACAAGTGACTTTTGCTTGTATACCATCAATTAATTTTTTTTTTTCATTATTTTATTTTCTTTAAATATTTGTTTAATAACTCTATAGGGATGGTTTACTGACTTGCATTTAGGAAATCGAAAGTTCGAATCCTTGTAGGGCCATCTTAGAAATTATTTTTTATAGTTGTCTAATACATATGAGACGATGAGATAATATGATACTCTACGAGGTGTGATACCACCATGATTAACCAAAATATATATATAGTAAATGAAAACAACTGTATAGTAGGACTCACATGAAAAGTGAAAAATTATTAGAGTTTTTTATTCTTTTTCTCTTTTTTCCATGCCATGTTGATTGATGAGTTTTTTATTTTTCGGTAGTTAATTATGGAGATATGTAATTATGCATCAGGCCATAGATAAATGATATAAGGTTGTAAAGATTGATATTTTATGTTAAAATTTTATTTTTCTCTACGGTCTGTTAGCTTAATTTGATCAAGTTGAATCAATTTACTTTTATAACTTAGTGTTTGTCAAGTTTAACTAATTTACTTTGTGGCTTAGTATTAGAGGTTGTCTCTTATCCAATTCGGATAAAAAATAAAAAATATAATTGGTATAAATAAATTAAATATTAGCCCATCTAATAACTTTACTTTTTTAATCTATGACTAACCTTTGTTCTTTTTGTCATCAGGATATATGATCCAATTGCCTTTGGGGTAGAATTGGGGCGGAGCTCCAAATGTTGGGCCCATATTCACCGTTTAACTTTATGGACCGGACTTTGGTCAATAAAGTATGGGCTTTTAGCTTTTTGACTGAGACTGAATTTAGTCACACTCCAATGGGCTCACCTCAACTTGTAATGGACAGACTTTTGAGCATTGGGCTCTTTATGCATTCATTTTTTTTTCAGACATACCCATGTCGTTTATGTATGGGAATATTGAATATCTTCTTTACACCGACACATATGTAGTTTTGTACACATGTTGAATATCTTCTCCACACCGACACATATGTAGTTTTGTATGTATATATGTTGAGTTGTCATGGACCAAAATCATAGAGCTACATAGGATAATTTCTCATTTCCCATATGCATTGGTCACTTTTCAGAAAATTTGGCTTTAAAGGCATTTAAACTCTCAATTTTTAAGATGTGCCTCTGTCAAATATATATATATATATATATATATAAAGGCAAAGCAAGGAATTTAATTCCGGGACATGTTAACACTGATAAAATATAGATTTTTTAAGCAGACCGAAAATATAATAATGTAGCAACAGTGCAATAGAATAAGTGAATAAAAAATGAATAAGAAAAAAAAAAAAAAGCAAAAGAAGGTTATTGCACATAAATTATGTATTAGTGTAAGAAAAAGAAATTTTTAAGAAGAAAAAGAAATTTTTTAAGAAGAAAATGAAATAAAAAGAAAAAAATATATGAGAGAATTTTGAAGGAAAAAATAAGTTTTAATTGTAGAAAGAGAATGTAAAAGTTATTAAAGATGACAAAAAGAAATTTGATAGAAAGGAATAAAGAATTAAATACATTTTTAGAAATAGATAATTTTATGTAGTTAATTTATAAATTTTATGAGGGTGTTTTAAAAATATTTACAAATTATACGTATAAAATAAAATAAAATTTAGTGAATTCAGGGGTAGAGGAGCCATTTTATTAATTTGGGGATTTGGGGGGAGGGCATCCGCCCCTATATATATATATATATTGAAATCATTTTTATGTTTTCTGAAGTTTTTAAAAATACTAAACTAAACAAATCTTAAAGTGGACGGTGAGAATTTGAGTCTCCAAATGAACTAAGTGATGTATGTGAATTTTTTATCAATGACAAAAAATTAAAATAAAAATTCTTATCAAACTTGACTAAGTTGAATCAACGATTCCTAACTTCAAACAACCAAATCAAAAAGTATACATAGAGAAGAGGAGGAAATAATATTTACGGACTCGTTCTTGTTTCCATATTGGAATTTCCTTCTTATCGGATTGAATTTTTTTTTATTTTTTAAAAAAATTAGTTACTTTTCTCCTATGTAAGTTTTTATCAGCAAGTTTGTTGGGTTTGATTTACTTTTCTCCTATGTAAGTTTTTATCAGCAAGTTTGTTGGGTTTGATTTCTGATAAAAAAAATTTGTTACTTTTCTCCTATGTAAGTTTTTATCAGCAAGTTTGTCACTTACCTCATAAGAAAACAATTCTTTCTCTTCTAATTTGTACGAATACAAATCATCATTTGTGTCTTTTATCTTGGGATAGAAATACATATTTGAGGAGGAAAAAAGACTATTTAGAAAGTTTGATTGAGTCCAGATCTTCTATTATGTACAACATTGTGTTGTAGCGTTTTTTCAATACAATTAAGTATGTTTTAACACATTAAATTTTAATGTGTTAAAAATTTATTATGTTGAAAAATATTAGTAACCGCTAAAAAAAATATAAAATTAATGTGTTGACAATTTCAGCATCACTAAAGACTTTGGGTGCCTTATAAAAGATAGAAGAGATATCACTAAATTACAAAACACTCTGTGTTTAATAAAAATTTCTTGCACCTACAATGAATACGAAGGAATGGAAAAAAAAAGGTAACGATATAGGAAAAAAACCAATTCATACGCTCGAACACCCAATAATTGAGTGACACAATAATTGAGTGACATTTGAGATTGGTACCAATTTCCTTTCAAAAATATTTGGAGTAAAAATGTTCCAACATGTTGTAGGGACACAAAGGATGACGATATTTCTACCCCCAATAAGTGAGTGACATTTTGAGATTGGTAACAATTTCCTTTCTTAAACATTTGGAATGAAAATGGTCCAACATTTTAAAAACTATAATGACACAAACGATGATGGGTCTATTTCTACCCAATAATTGACTGACATTTTGGGATTCGTAACAACTAGATTTCTTAAATATTTGGAATAAAACTATAGATAGTTTTCAGATCAGGCATAAGAATAATAATAATTATTATTCGTTTTTTATTCAAATAAATTAGAAAAAAAGGGTTGGAACACACCCAAAAAGTTGAGTAATTAAATAATAGGATAAAGTATAACAACACTCCCTCATGTTTGCCAAAAGGATATACAAGTGAAATTTTTTAGTTTTTTGGACAAAGACACCCCTGACATGAAAAATTGACCAAATTACCCATTGATAATAAATTAGACCAATATACCCTCATGAATAATTTATGCATAAAAAAAATAAAAAAATAAAAAACAATCTCTTCCCCTCCACCGTTCCACCACCACCAGCCCACTACACAAAGCCACACATATATATAGGGGTTCAAATTTCACATATATATATATATACCCACAAATTTTTGTATAGCAAAACCCAACACTACAAAATCCAAACAATATGAAATTGGATCTTTTGATTAGGTGCTCAATTGGATACCTGCAATCTCAGACAACCACCCACCCAACTCTGTCACCCAACCGTGAATATCATCACAAAATCCAAATTCAACAACATGGGCATGAATTTTTTTTACCTCTGACAAAATCCAAATTCAACAACATGGTCTAAAAGATTGTATGTAGGTATATATATAGATGAATTAACCAATGCATGCGCCAATTTAGGATAAAATCAAACACTGTGAATTGACAGTGGAAAGGATAAAAGTTAAGTAAAAAAAAATGGAGGAAAGGTGTTTGAATTTGACAAGAACAACCACATGTATGGTATATATATATACATCAAACAATTGAACAAAAAGCAGTATCGTGTATTTACCAAACGGAGGAGAAATAGGGTTTGAATTTGATAAGAACAACCACATGTATGTATGGTATAATACATCAATGAATTGAAGATCGTTTGTTCTTGTCGAATTCAAACTCTTAGTGTTTGAATTTGACAAGAACAACCACATGAATGGTATAGGCTGCTGTTAATCAAGATGAACTAGACGAGAAACTACACTGCATATTGCTCTTGTCAAATTCAACATGGGCATGAATGTATGAATTTTTTCAACTATGGTTATCATAAAATCAACGAGTAAGGACGGTCAAAACAGAATAGTAGACACGAACTCTGAGATTGAAATTGCCGGCGAGGACCAAGCTCCGATGACGATGCGGCAACGGACTGAACAGTGAAGCGAGGTTTAGAAGGTGCAGATGAGCACAACGAGCGTCACCTGAAAGAACGAGGAAGCTAAAGTGGCCATCGCCTCTACCATCCGACGAGCAACGACAACGATGGCGAGCCGCCTCTCCTCCACCTTCGGCGTCATCATCATCCTCCGCCTCTATATCAACGACATATTGGCCGACTCTAGATCCGCGGCCCGCCTTCGATTCCATCTACACATAGAGCCCCAGATCTGTTTTCGCCGTCAGACTCGCCATAAAAAACGACAAACTTGCCGCCGCCCTCCACCGAGATCGTTTGCGCTCTCGAACACCTCTATACCATGGGCATCGTTTACCGTGACCTCAAACCCGAGAACGACAGCTCGCCGTCGCCCGTCGCCGCCTTGTGTGTGTGGATAAATATATATGTGTGTGTGTGTGTACATATACGTGCATATATAAAAAAAGAAAAAAATGGAAGATGAAGG